CCATTAAATCAGAAAAATGAATGTGATGAATTAGAAGATATGGAATGTGTAGAGGAAGAAGTGGAGCCTCGTATTGGAATGATGTTTGATTCAGTAGATAGTCTAGTGAAGTATTACAAAAGGTATAGTAATAAAATGGGTTTTGAAGCACTGATACGTACGTCAAAGAAAAGAGATGATGGGGGAGATGTGATATGTGGCAGTTGGTGGGTTCTTGTTTTGGGAAGGAGAGATGTAAATTCAAAAATACTTTGAAAAAACAACCTGTGGCTAAAACAGATTGTAAGAGTCGGAGTAGTGTAACTTTGAATGGTGAATGCAGATGAGAAATTAAATCAGTTGTGCTTAAACATAACCATGATCTTACAAGTCCGACAAAAAGAAGATATTTCAAGGTAAACCAAATGATACAACCTTATGTGAAAAGGAGGCTTGAAGTTAATGATCTGGCTGGGATTAGACTGTGTAAAAATTTTCAGTCATGTTATTTGACGTTTCTACAAAAAGATTGTAGGAACTACACGGAAAAAGTTAGAAGGCTATGACTTGGAGTTGGAGATGCTTTGGCAGTACTCGGGTATTTTATGAAAATGCAAAAGGAGAATTCAAATTTCTGGTACATGATTTATGTAGATGAAGAGAGTTGATTATAGAATGTGCTATGGGTTGATGCTAGATGCAGGGCCGCATATAAAGAATTCGGTGATTTTGTGACCTTTGACACAACGTATCTGACGAACAAGTATGATATGCCATTTTCTGCTTTTGTGAGGGTTGATCATCATGGACATTCGACATTGTTAGGTTGTGGGTTAATTTCCCATGAGGACACTAAGACATTTGTATGGAATTTCCCATGAGGACACTAAGACATTTGTATGGCTATTTCGTTCTTGGCTTGAATGCATGGATTTTGCTCTTGATGAAATTATCACTGAGTAAGATAAGGCCATGCAAAATGCAATTGAGATTGTTTTCCTCGGTATAAGACATAGGTGGTGTTTGTGGTATATAATGAAAAAATAGCCTAAAAAGTTAATAGGGTATAAGGAATATGAAACTATAAAGTTTAAGTTACAAAATATTGTGTATGATTTCTTTACACGTGAAGAGTTCGAAGAATGGTGGAACAAATTCATTGATGTTCACAACCTTTACGAGAATGAATGGTTATGTGGATTGTACAAAGAAAGAGTACGTTGGGTGCCTGCATTTGTTAAAGATAATTTCTGGGCAGATGTGTCTACTACCCAACGTAGTGAAAGTATGCATGAATTTTTTGATGGATATGTAAATTCCAAAACAACGTTGAAATAATTTGTGGAACAATATGATAATGCATTGCAAGATAAAGTGGAAAAAGAAAGGGTGGTTGATTGTAGATCTTTCAAATCTTGGATACCATGCATAACTAATTACCCTATTGAGAAATAATTTCAAAATGCATACACAACTGCAAAATTTAAAGAGTTTCAAGAAGAGATTGCAGAGAAGATTTATTGTGAATTATCTTTTTTGAAAAAGTATGATTTGTATGAGGAGTATCAAGTTTTAGAAGATGTTTGGTTTGGAGATAGTAATCGGCGTGTTCCCTTTGTGGTGTACTTTGAAGAAAGTTCATTTGATATTCATTGTAATTGTCATTTGTTTAAGATCAGAGGGATTTTATGCAGACATGTCGTTATTGTGTTGATTCATAAAAAAGTTTCACACGTTCTAGATAAGTACATTTTATAGCGTTGGAGGAAAAATATAAAAAGATATCATACGAAAATTAAGGTAAGTTTTAATAAGTGGAGCACCAACGTTGAAGGACAACGTTTTGATAAGTTGTTTAATATAATGTTGACAATAGCCGATATGACATCAAACTATGAGGAAGACTGTAATATGTTGATGGAATTTATGATTGACATGAGAAAAAAGTTGGAGCAGAAGGAAAGTGAAGGAGGGCTTAGTAGAAAAGTAAACATCTCTTTTACAACTGGTTTGAATAGTAAAGATGGCGACAGTCCTCCTAAAGAGGAGAATAGTCAAATTATTAGTTCACATGCAGTTCGCAGCAAACGTCGTCCTCTATGCAGAAGAAAATAGTCGAAGCTTAAGGAAATTATACGTAAGAATAAAAATAAAAAATTACGAAAACAAAGAATTGGTATGAGTTATACACATATTCTTACATGATATTTGTTTTTAAAACATTATTTACTTATTTGAAGTTTATAATAATATCGATTTGATTATTAATGTGTTATGCTATTTTTTAGGGAAAGAATCATCAGCAGAGCGAGAAAAGGAAAAATTTCTTTTATCTACTTCTGTGGCCGATGCCCTCACATATGATTACGTCAACATTATTGAAAGTATATCGAAAACTCAAGTGTTGTCAAATGATGTTGTTGCTACCCATGTATGTGTTATGTATGTTGTATAATTGATTAATTGTAACTAACTTAAGTTTTCTATAATGTGTGCTAAATTGTGGTTGTTAACGTTGATAGTTGTCTACTAGTCTGGTTCAGAATCTCATAGAAAAAAGTAAATTATATACTAGCTAAGAGTCTGTAAATGATGAACATGTTTCATTGGGAGAGATTTAATGTTGTTGACAGGTTGAAACATATATAATTGTATTGGGTAGAAATTATTCGCGCTTTGGTTAATTTCTGATGAATGCAGTTGAGCTGTATACTGATTTAGTTGTTTTATTTTTATTATTCTGGTCGTTGGTTGGTATGAGTAGGATGTCTGCTATAGGGTTGTGAATTCATAATAATAACGTTAATGTAACTTATTCTGAATGTTTTTAGTATATATTACCGTCACATTGCGGACTGTTTGTTAACTAGTTGTATAACGAATTTTGGATATGCATTTCATTTGAGATTTGAATTTTGATATGTCTTTTGGTATGTCTAGTATCACATATACATATGCATTTAAAAGAGTAATTGAGATATGTATAGAACAATAATTAATGAAGTATCTCCTTCATTATGGAATTGTCGGCAGCCTATGAAAACTTGTCATAATGAAAAAATCAGTTGGAGAAGTTCAGATAATCGAGAACATCTTGTGAAACCAATCTTTATCAATTAACATATTTATAAACAAAAAGCAAATATAATTTTCGTACATAAAGTTTAGTATTGGAACCATACATAATGACAATTAACATTCAAGTTGACTCAAGCTGTATCACATGCTAAACAAATTAACTATACTACTATAATAACAACTAGCTATACATCATAGTGTAGGAGGTGGAGGTTGATTGGAGGAGGAGGAAGAGGCTGTTGATAAGTTTTTTATCATGATGAAAATTTATGTCATGCGTTCCCCGAGGATGTCAATCGTTTCTTCTATTCTTGATGCGAACGAGTTAAAATCACTTTGCAACTGATCCTATTGTTCTTGCATTTTCCTCTCAATATGTGAAAAACTCTCATCTTGAAACCTTTTGATCCGCTCAAATCTGCTTACTATTTTGTCTAAAGTTTCAGGAAATCCCACCTAATCAATTATCAGATCTGCATTCGGATCTTACTCATATTCTAGTGAGAATCCACCAAACAAGTGTTTGAAAGTAACATGCAAATTAACATTTGAAACTGACATGAATTCATTTACCCACCTTACAGCTCAATCATCAATAAAATCACAAAAATTCACATGATGAATAGAAACAAATTAAACACTAACTTACGAGAAGAACGACAGATGGCTTCAATGAAGAAAAAGAACGGCAGATGAGGAACGAAGACGAAGAAGTGAAAACGGCAGATGCATTTATTTTTCAATGAAGAACTTGGAGTTGGATGTAGCTTTTTTCTTTCAATAATCCCAAGAAAATGGACAGCTGTCCATTTATTTATCGCTTATTTTGTTTTTTAAAACTTGTTTGGGATCACAAATTTTTAAACCCTAAGAATTGAAATTTAAAAAAAAAAAAATATTTGCCTCGTTGTTCAATGGACGGTCGTCCATCTAATACGGACGGCTGTCCATTAAAAATAGCGGCCTGTCCATTCTTATTCTTTTAAACAATCATTTCTTATTTTAAAAATACTGCAAGTCATTATGGACCCATCCATAGGAAATGGACTCTCGTCCATATTAAGTCCACTATTATTTTCGTTCAAAATTTCGTTCAGATTGGTGGACAACCGTCCAATTGTAATGCACAGTCGTCTATCAAATATGGACGAGCGTCCATAATTGTTGGACAACCGTTTATTCACAAAAGACGTATTATAGCGTTCAACATACCATGTCTGACTCAGATGTCATGTAAGTCGGTACAATAATTCAATGAGATTAATTGGTATTTGTGGCATTATTGATCTTGAAAATATGTAATAATTATTTATTTATCATTTTCATTTTTCTACTTTTGAATTTTTAGTATAACTAAATAAACTTAAAACCCTATAATAAGAATATAAAATCCATGGTTTTTATTGTTTTCAAAACTTCGTAAACAACATTTTCAATTTCTGAGACCATAAAATTAGACTTTTTATTTTTATTTTCAAATTTATTTTTAACATGATGTAGAAATTACATGAGATAAATCTTCCATATCAAAGTAGTTTGTAAAGTAAATACCGTATATGGTTTCTTCTTTCATTCAACTTTGATAGCTAAATTTCAAAAGTTACAACAGTTTTCGAAAATTATTAAAAGGGTTTTAATATTTATAGAATCATTTATAATATCAATAACAAATTTTGCAGTGTTTTCAACTAGTTTTTAGTAATTTTATGGATGCATTTTATTCGTTTTCAAAATTGGTTAAGATGTTTGAGATTTTTAATAATCTAGAAAATAAAATTAACCCAAATATATACTATTGAATTTAATTTACTTTTGTAAATAAAAATAAAAACGTTTATTTTTCGTAAATAATTTGAGCAAAATATCTTTTAGCTTAGGAGCCTAGAAGAGAAAAGAATCATCTAGACTCAGCACTCGGTAGACTCATTTTTTACCAACCAAGAATCGCCTATAAATATCCCAATACCAACTCGTCAAACCACTTGTGCTTCAATTTCTCTCTCAATTCTCACTTTTCCTCAATTTTTTTTCTTCGTTAATCGTAAACTATGAGGTATTTTCTACTCGCCTTTTAACCTGTACTCTTTCAAATGTCTGTTTGGTTGCTGAGAAACGACGCAATATGTAAAAAGATCATGAAATTTCGATCGTTATAATTTCAAGTTTTTTTTTTTTTTTTTTTTGAAACTGTTGTACTTGTACTGGCCTCAATCTTTGTCGGTGTTCTCTTTTTTGTTATATATATTAATTTTTTCGTTCTTAAAATCTCTCTGTTTCTGGTTGTTTTCGGCAGCAAAACATGAGTGTTAGGGTTTCATGTTTATGAGAATGCTGAAATATTTTTTATTTTTATATTTGGTTTTACTTTATTGCTTTTGTTCTTCTGTTTGGCTTCCGAGATGGTGAGATGACGGAAAAATAATTTTTTTTTCTTACTTTTGTTTTGGTAGAATATTTTTGAAATTAGAGATTATCGTGGCTTGAGTAGTTAGACATGGGGACAGCTCCGTAGTGGTATCTAAAGGTTAACGTTTGCATTTTTAGTTGCTTATGTTTTGTTAAGTTAGCTTTCACAGTTAATGCCTTTATGTACGAGCAAATTAACTTACTGGCTTACTTGATTTAATGGTTTAGTGTTTTGTATTTCTGGTATGTTGGTCCAGAGTGCATTGAGTTAGTGTTCCGTTTACTACTTTTGAAGAGCGTTAGTATATTATCTTTAGGCGGAGTTCATAATGTCATATTGGTAATTTACAATGCTACTGGACAAGTTAAAACGCATTTACTGGGCCAAGACCATAGACGGATTTGGTAACTTGTGTAGGATGAAGTGCTATATTGATTGCCATTATTCTTTTTGGGTAGCGGGAGTGTTTGCTGCCCGTATAATTATTGTACTAGTGACCTTTTTTTCATAATATAATGCCACATTTGAAACATGGATCATGATATATTTAAATGTTTACTACATTTTGTTACAAGTTTAATGTGGCATATTGCAAGATTGGTTGTGCAATTGCTGTAATGGTATACCAATAGCTATTTAGAGGCCCCTTCTATTTGGTAGATGGGTCATGACAAAGTAAACTTCACTATGATGTCTGTGATTTTTGAAGTCTCTGTGAGTGTGACTTCAGGTGGATTTGATCATGTTTACTCCCATGCTATGAGCTAGGGGACTTAGTTGTTTTCTTAATTTCTTGGATTTGAACTTTGCAAGTTTCCGTGGCATTTTATAGGAAATATTGTATGTTGCATTTATGATTGCGTCTTGATTTAGCGTACATAATTGAATAGATGCTTCTTTACCTGTAGATTGTTTCATCATTACTTTATGCCTTGTATGCCTACTACAATAGGGTGTTATTGATTGTCATGCATGTGTCTCATTGACTAGTATACCCAGACTTGGGAATTTCACCAACTTGCTTTACACATGGATTTTCTCCAGGATTGGGTTTGCCATGTTTCATATTTCGTATTCAGGTGGAATGGTGAAGTAAGAGTTAAAAATTTGAAACGTTGGGATTTAACATATTTGTAGAAGTCAATAGAATCAGAAAACCAAATTTTTATGACAAGCATTTATGTTGGTAACCTTTTAAGGAGAATCAAGGTTTGCATTTGCGGTCGTATCAAATCTTACAGTGTATGATTCTTTTTTTGTGATTGTTAGGGTGCTTAAAGATGTGAGGTGGCTTGGATAGCTTCTCGTCAATTTAACTATATGTGATTCAGTGATGTTTATTGCACCACACATACTGTTATTAACTGAACAGAAATACACTCAACATATTTGAGGGGAAAACACTGTCGAACTCTGAAAACTATGTAAATGCTGCTGTCTGCACATCACTGTGCTAGAACTAGCAATTGCAAGAATTCTAACTTAACTGGTGCTATACAACTTTAGGTTGTAGTTGGAAACTTTAAAGTTCTGTTTAAAGAGTGGCATCACAGTGCTAATTTTGGATTATAACTAATAAATTTATTCATTATGTTTTCTATTTTCTGTTCTAACTTCCTTTCTAAAAATTCCAGCCGACACCCTTCAGTTAAATGGGCACAGACGTCTGATAAGGTCTTCATAACCATTGACTTGCCAGACGCTCAGGATGTGAAACTAAAACTGGAGCCTGAAGGGAAATTTTTCTTCTCAGCTACCAGTGGAGCAGATAAGATACCTTATGAAGTTGACTTTGATCTGTTCGACAATGTTGATGTTAATGTAGGTACCTGACAATAATTTTATTATTGTAGCCTGCTTCTTTTATACAATATTTCTCAAATTTAAAGTGTGATTATGGAATTTGCAGGAGAGCAAGGCTAGTGTTGGCTTGAGAAATATCTGTTATCTTGTCAAAAAGGCAGAGAACAAATGGTGGAGCAGATTGGTAAAACAAGGGGGAAAACCTCCTGTGTTTCTGAAAGTTGATTGGGATAAGTGGGTTGATGAGGATGAGGAGACGGATGAAAAAAAACGTGATCCATTTATCCTAGACAATCTTCAAATATAATCAGTAAAGGATTTGTTCTATGGCTAACTTATTTGTTATTCATTTGCAGCTGGAGCTGATATGGACTTCGGTGATTTTGACTTTTCGGTCAGTGGTCATATATTTTAAACATAAATTTTATTACTTTACAAACTGCTAAAACTCATGTATATCCAATTTGCTTGGTTGGCTGGTTTCAGAAAATGAACATGGGTAACATGGGAGGCCCTGATCTTGATGCTGCTGGTGACGATGGTGAGTTTTGTAATCCATGTATTTCAATATCATTTTGAACATTGATATTTTTGGAATTAAGTCAGGCCTAAATTTCTCCTGTGAATGTTGGGATGCAGAAAATGATGATAGTGACACAGAAGATGAGAATGTGGAGGAAGCATTAGCGGCGGAGACCAAGGGAGAATCATCAGCTGCTGTTGAGGCTGATGCCAAAAAAGCTTGAAACTTTAAATCTGGGTGTGTTGTGAAGTTTTAGGCAGCCTTTTTATCTGCAACACATTGTGGAGCAAACATATCTTATAAATTACTACCATGCCTGTCTAATCATTTTTATTTTTTTCGGTTTCACTGAAAATATTTGCTGCTCTGAGAGTTGAATTGGTTTTGGAAAATAGAATATTAACAGTGGTTAGATCAAATATGATCCATTTCTTTATATCTACGCCAGTCTTTTCATAATCAGCAATATTTGAATCATGTTTTGACAGTCTTGAGGTTCGTTGTTGATGATAAATTAACCTTGGAAATTTGTGTTATTTGAAGCTGTTTATGTTAAATGGGTGCGTTTGGTTTATTATTTTGAATAGGATTTTGAGAATAATATTGGGTAGTTGGATAGGGGAGTATTACAAGGTAAAATTTAAAAATTTATGAAAAAGCTTTTAGGTTTGTTAATTTAATTAAATATCTTAATATATAAAATAACAAAAACACCTTTATCATTTGTTGTGTCAGATTTCGGTCACCATTGTTGAAATCTGGTCGAAAAATTGTGTTACAACATAGATTTTTGTAATGCGTTATTTTGGCCATTACGGTTAGAGCAGGTTGTAATTCTGGCCTTGATATGTTACCGTTAAATTGTATGTTCTGATACATTTAATGGTGCTGGGTATATTGATAATCAGAGTACGATGAGGTATTAAATGATATGATACACATTGGCAATGTAAAATTTGGGATTACTTAAAATGAATAGCAGTCTTCTATCCTTAAAAGGAGGGATTGTAACATTTTAGATTCAATGACTGATATGAATTCACTCATCACTAAACTGATGTTTGAACGCAAGAATGAAGATAAGTCGACAAAATCAGCTCTATTTGATTAGATGAGATCTATTATTGGACAAGTGGAATTTATTAATTTAATGCAAGTTGATCAATTATAAGTTAAGACGTTACGTTTGTGAGAAAAAAATTATTGAGAATGATTGGATACAAACATAATATTTAACTTTGGGAAAAAAATGAATTGATACAAGAGAATTGTGTCTTTAACATGTTCTCTACACGACTCTTGTTGATGACAAGACCACCCAAAATGCAAGGTAAACTCAAATGGTAACTGTGCTCTGTCTATAATTAAGAACATAATAACATCACATAGTCTCTGGAAGTAGAAACCACATATTCAAATATGCGAGACAAACAGATCTAAGAAACTTCTTTTTCATCCACCAAATGTAGCTAAATCAACTGTCGGGAAGTCTCATCACCACTTCAGATGGTGGCCGTAAGGTACATACCATCTCTCTCGTCTTCCCAAAATAGACCTGCAATAAGTGTACGACATGATTTATAATGCTGATTGTCATGTAAAATTAAAATGGTTTAACGTTCAGATGTGTAAATGAACAAGTGAGGAGTTAGGAAATTTGAAGCAAAGAAAACTATTTCACCTGATCTAGTGAGTTCCTCAGCTTACCCTCCATTTCTTCTATCATCTTTCCCATATTACAAAGATGACCTTCTGCAACGGGGAGGTTCATATTCATCTATGAACAGAGGAAAGTAAACAAACTTGGTTCAGTCAAAATTCAAAACTATAAAACAGATTACTTGATTTAGACGAAATGAAAATTATAAAACCAAATCTATTTGTAGAATTTTCGGTAGGCTAATCGTTAGTACGTTAAACTGTAGTCCTGTGCTGAACTCCCCACTTGCTTGATCTCAACTATCACAAACCACAACTTAGCATTCAATAATGCTCAGCTCAGTTTGGTTTTTAGAAAGAGAAGGGAAATGTTAAGTATTTTCAAACAATTTTCAGAAAACTAGGACTATGGTTATCGATATTCAGAGCACAATTCAGAATATATAAGCGCTTCTATAAAGCAATTTCTGATTTAGTAACAATCTCATCCAAAGGATCTTCAGCAATTTAAAAGGTCTTACTTAGTTGTATATAAAAACAATAAAACAAGAATTTGCAACAGGAAAGCCAGAGCAACCTTGTCAACCATGATTCTTAACATTAACAAAAATTTCTCAAAACAAAGCAATAGAAACAAGCCTCTCCTGAGAGAGGGCATATAAAAGTATGGGACAAAGAGCAAGAGTTTCCTGACAATCTGTCACTGTCCACGTATATATATATATGAGTCACAAATTACTTGATCTAGGTGCAGCAAACTTCTTTTTGACACACATTTTCTTGCCTATGATAGAACCAGACTGTCTGTTCTATGCTTATCCAAGATGGAATAAGTTCTAATCTCCATCCCAACAATTATGGGAAACTACCAGGAAATAATTCAAGTATTGACACCAGATAACATATATACAGAATTTATTAACTCCATCACCCAGTAGTTTACCAGAAAATTAGTTATATGTGATTTCTTAAAGAAAGGTTTTAATTAGTAAAGATTGCTCAACTCATAACAAATCTAACAATCTACCTGTCGTCTAATTGATCCAGATAAACTGAATGTGCCTGATGACTCGTCATCCGTAGTTAAAGACAGCATGATGGTACTGGTTAAACAATAATGGGCTGTTCCTTCTTCCTCTGGCCCCACCTACACAGGAAATAAATGTTCATTCTCAGAGTCTACATGACAAGCATACTTGAATATTAGAAGGTGAGGGCAGAACAAGGCAATATCCCTATATATCTACATCCTGTCGTGGCTCCTGTAGTCACCTCTATAACATGTATAGCATCCCATGCTCCCTCCTCCAAATAACCCCTTCGGCCGTGTCCTGTCTTTGAACCATCTTCATTCAATACAAAAATGTATTGGTTAGAGAAACAAAACTGTGCAGCTGGCATCTGTGTAGGTGAAAAACAAAAAGCCTTACCTTTTTTTATCAAGAAGCAGGCAACAAAACCTTCATTATCATCTTCCCACATGTAAACTGATGAAATACCACCTTCATAGTACCTATCAATTTATTGGTTAATCAAGCAACTACAACTAAAAGATAACATATATAATGAATAAGTTACGAGAGGAAAATATTGTAAGGGAAACTTTAAACTAATTTTGATTTTAAACAAATGACAATCAAAACCAAAAAGGTTTAGCACGCTTAAATTCTTTCTTACATACAAATTGTGAGAAATTGAGAAAACTAAAGGACGAGGTAAGTAAAGAACCTCACTGGTCACGATAAATTGCAAAGATATCATTTGCTTCAATTTCAAGGTTCCTCAACTCTGAAGTTTGGTATGGCGCATCTTCCAATGGTGGATGGTACTTATTCGACCAAGGTGATCTACAAATATATAGTTCCATAGAAGAAAATAAGCCATAAGTTACCGCTGATTTTCAATAAAAAAATAAATGATTAGAAAATCAAGAGTCAATTATGTAACTAAACTCTGAAAATATGTTGTAGGATGAGTAAGAGAAATGTTAAAAACACTCTCTTCTTCAGTCTCTTTCTCACTCATTCTATTCTTAACATGTACACAAGGAACAATGAAAAAGATATTATCAACTTGTCACTTACTTTGTTTCTTGTATACATGTCAAGATAGGAGTGAGAAAGAGAGTGAAAAAAACAGTGCCGGTAGCATTCCTTGAATTTGGTAAACTATAGGTCATGCATCTACATTCAAATATATGGAGTAACATTATGCTGAGTAGTTGACATGCTCATTCATCACAGCCAAGAAACAAATTTTCTTTCAAATACCTTAGTGTGCCCATCAGACCACCATTTGTACTTAGTGAAATACGTCAAAGGCAAAGTATGGCAAAGTAGGGTTACATAAATATATGTTTGTATATAATAACGCTACACATTTCAAGGTGATATATCATCTTATGTAACAATAACAAGTAAATCATGAATTGATGTAACATGACAATACCGTATAAAATGACACATCACTTGGAACAAAAAAAGTTAAGATTCTAATGAGGATGTGTAACATTATTCATTTGTATATATGAATATATATTATCGCAGTATTTGAATGGAGCCGATCAGCAAATTTAAGTGCTTGGGATTGCCTCATTTATACAAGCCAAAGATGTATTCTCACAGTCATAACCAGTGAACCCACTATCCAGATTCAAGAATCCACTCATAAATTCCCAACAGATCATGAACACAGACATCACTACTTAAATCCATTATCCAATTCAAACTTAGTGGATTACAACTCCAGTTACTCCACAGTATAAAAGGCTTTACCCGCAACAAGTCAAAAACATAAAATGAAAGAAAATTGTACCTATAAGAATCAGCGTCTCTGTTGTATTCACACAAAATAAACTCTTTCCCAGAATCCACATCGTGTAAAATCTGTTGTTAGCATAACAAAAAAAGAAAAAAAAAAAGAAAAAAAGAAAACCCACCAGTTATTAGCTGCTACAAAATGGTTTATGGCAAGTTAACAATACAAATCAATAATAAATAAAAAAAAAGGTTTCGTATAGGATTCTAATGTCAAATTTTCAGCACCTTCACTTTTAATCATCCCTAATCACCTAATGAAACCGGTATCGGTAACAGTACTGGTACCGGACCAGAATTAGCAACGTGATATTATTGAGAATTACTATTAAGAAATGGGTATATAGTAATGTGGCAAAAAATGCAAAAGCCGAAGCAAAAGAAGGTTAAAAAAGAAAAAACAAGGTGAAAATGAAAGAAACCCAGATAAGAAAAGAGGAGAAACCTGAAGAGGCTGATCAACTTGAGAGAGGAGATCGGAGGAATGGTGAGGTAAGAGGCTGAGAAGAGCAGAGAGAGCGGTTTCCGTGTGCTTTGGAGGCATTCTTCTCATTAAACCCAATGCGCCCTCCATTTCTTTCTCTTGCAAAAAAGAAATTGAGAAGAAGACGAAGAAGAAGAGTGATAGATAGTCGTGATGATAGAAGACAAGAGTCGCCCTGTGTGCCTATGGCCTCTTTGATCCGATTTTTCCTCGCGGGAACCACCTCCACATTCCTTTCTTTATAAAGCTCGCCCTGCCTGGCCCCCCTCCCTACATTTTCGCAATTTTTTTTTTTTTTTAATCTAATTTTTTCTATATTATGTAAAAGTGCCGTTACCGTTACATTACACCGATAAATATTGGGTTAATCACATCAAAACCCCCAGAGGTTTCAAAGTTTCACAGCGGACAGAAAAGAATAAAGTTAGGGCATAAGTAAGAGTGTATTTTATTGTGTAAAGTCTACTTTGTTCTTGTTATTCTATTTAGTTCACAATCTTACTTCTTGACTTAAATACTTATGAAAAAAAGATTAAATTATTATCTCCTTATTAATTTAATTATTTTCTAACATACATTATTAATCTATTCAAAAGTAATTTAAAAAAAAAAAATAAAAAAAATAATGATAATTTGATTAACCTCCCCCACAGTATCAATACTCTAAAAACTTGGTTTTAAAACCAGTTACTATATATCTTTCCCCAAATCATCACCACCGCCCGCCAAAGCTTTTACCCTTCTTCTATTTTTTAATTTTTTTGGGACAAATTTCTAGTCTCTTTTGTAAGTTAGAAAAGCCAGATACGTCAAACAAAATTCGGTACTAAATCAACAAAATTAGACCTGTCAAAATTAAGTGGAAACCAAAACACATAACAAAAAATAACGGGTTTAAAAAAAAAAAAAAATTTAGAAGAAACGGCGACAAAGACTTTCGCACACGCCACCGTCTGAGCAAGCCATCACCGCCACCGCATGCAATTTATTTTCTTTTCCCTATCTATCACTTGTTGCTATCTCCATTATTCAACTATCATCAACTACAACGCCCTCATTCTCCCTTTTTTTCTTCTAATATTAGTCTTTGAGGTTTAATCCATAGTTGCTGGCTTCTGTGGTTTGGCTTAGATTATGTGGATTTGTTTGTTAGCGAAAGATAATATATAGTGAAGATATATGTTTTTTTGCCTTAATGTCACTCACAATTTGGGATGTAAGTGTTAATCTAATGCTCTTGTTTATACGTCTGTAAAGCATTAAAATGTTGGGGGGGAGGGGGGTGGTCAATGTTTTTAACCCACAAATCTATTGCTATTATAAGCTTATCATCCCTTGTAACAATGTTATAGTTACAAGTTTATAAATAATTTTAACATCATTAAGAGTACCTTTTTAAAGAGAGTAGAAATGACACCTATGAATGGTTATATTTGTTTAAATGATCTGACATTCGATAATATTTATTAAGTACAAAATTTTACTTAATCAAGTTGGTACAATTATGACGATTTCACTTAATGGTTTGAAAATTAGAATTATTTACTTACTTAGTTGGTACAATTATGATGATATCACTTAATAGTTTGAAAATTAAAATTAGATGATAATTATCGACATTAGTAACTAAACAATTTTTAGCACCCTTATATGCATTTAATTTTTTTTTTTTAATTTATTTTCAATCTTAATCGGTAACGTTACTGGCTCGAGTATCAAATGATAACCGTTAGATTGAGTGCAATGTGGGTAAGGTTACACCTAGACCTAGTAAGCTATCAATCCCCTTGGAAAGAGCCTATTTATGAGGCCATGAGCATCTACTAGTTAATAAATTCCAAATTACTCAGCTACAAAAGCCCTAACAGAGAGCATCTTTATAGATGGTGGGTCATCTTGCAAAAATTTGAAAGAAATTTATTAAGTAAAGAAATTTCAAATGGGTTATTGAGTTGATAATTTTGTAGTGCATGTTATGTCTCGTAGAAAAGTAAGAAAATGAGTTGTTTTTGTTCAACTTTTTCCCCATAGCTATGATGGGCAATGAGGAGTTGATTTTAAGGCACTTCATTGTGCCAAGAGTTTGGAAATTAGTTTTTGTTTTTGTCAACAACTCATGGGCCCATAACAAACACCAAGTTGATTAAATGATTTGAATCTTATTACTAAATTAGGTATGTTTTCTATTAAACGTTATCCACCTGAGTCGATATTAATTCAATAAACATGGTTATTCCCTTTTTGATAAAGCAAACGTCCGACGATTAACTATATTCTTTTACTTAATTATGATTAAATTAGGTGGTATTTGGTAATCATACTCGATTACAGTGGGGCTTTACTCTTATTAAATTACCTTGTTTATCCCTAAGTAAAAGTTGCATCAAAACCTTATAGCTAGAGGGAGAGCATTATCACTGTGTTGTATGGATAAATTTCAGCTTATTTGAGAATTTGATGTTTAATCAAGAGATCAAGGCTTGTGATTTGCTATAAATTAAAGCCTTCTAAGAGCATATTCAATAATGCTATTTATTTTAATGAGTATATTTCATATAAATAAAGAGTATCTTTAATCATTTATAAATATAAAAAACAAAATTTTATTCAAATCCAATGGACCTTTTAAATTATGATATTTCATATAAATAATGTTCTTTATTTTTAAGAAAAAGATTTAATAAGAGAGAAAATTTATAAAAAAATACATAAAAACTTGTAATTTATTAATTAAAATTAAGATAGAGAGTAAAATTTGACTCTCTAAATATGGAGAACCAAATTCACTCTTTAATTTATACTTAAAAGATAAAGAGTTTGTTAGACTCTTATTTTTATCGGTAAACTCTTTATAATAAAGAGTTTGAGTACATCTCCAAATGACTCTTTATATAACTCAAACTTTTTATTATAAAGAGTTTATTCATAAAAACAAGAGTCCAATAGATTCTTTATTCTTTAAATATAAATTAAATAGTGAGTTTGACTCTCCACATTTAGAGAGTCAAATTTCACTTTCTATCCTAATTTTAAATAATAAATCACAAGTTTCTATGTACTTTATTTATGATTTATCTCTCCTATTAAATTTCTTTCTTGAAAAAATATATTCTTTTTTCTAAAATTTAAAGAGTCTATTGGACTTATATAAAAATTTTGTTCTTTATATTTAAAAATCAATAAAAATATTCTTTATTTATGTAAAAGATACTCTTCAAAATAAAGATGCTCTAAGCTCCAAAAATAGCCCAACCCGTAGGTTCTAAATTGAGAAATGGAAAAGACCACCACCGTTACTCGCTTAGTTATATAATTCCAATTTCCAAGCCATAATTCCTTAAAAACATGCAAAAGATTCGCCGTTGCCGGGGATCGAACCCGGGTCACCCGCGTGACAGGCGGGAATACTTACCACTATACTACAACGACCTTTTGATGAAGGGATAATTTTAAACTAAAACAATTTATTCTGCTAGCCTGAATGTTGTTATTACCCGCTCCTCAAGGGATGGCAAATCTGAAACACGCCCACAATTTAAAGTATTGTATATCCCTTTGATTATCGTTTGTACCCTTAAAATTCTCATTTACCCCCTAGAACGAGTATAAGAAAGCATCTTGAAAGAAAGGTATATAATACTTTTCAAATTCTGTGGTGCCTTTCATATTTTACTGTCTTTCAAGGGGATTAATTTAATAACCCTCAAGATAAAAACCAAGTTTGTAGTTTGTATATGTTTAATTCTCGCATCCATGTAAGAAATAAATAAATCATAGAGTTAACTTAAGTACAACACCATCTCATTAGGTATAGAATTTATTTGTAAATGAGAACATCTTTATTGGGGAGCACTTAATTTCAATAATGGAAAAATGGAAGCTATTGAAACACTTTCATTTATATATTTAAAATGAGACCATTCCTGTCAAATAAATTGGTAAAGAGAAGCTAAACAAGACATTTGAACAATAAGCTATCTAATGGATTCTACAGTCCAGAAAACAAGACCATTTTTCTTAACACCTAAATATCGACCGACCTTACTTGCAATTTCAACAAGTTACAAACTTACATCTTTGATAGACAAGAAACTTCTAAAATGATAAAATATTAGAAATAAATGACCTATCGAGAGTTGAACCCTAAAACTCTCGATTTAAACGAAATACCTTAACCACTCGATGATTAGGGTTCGGAAAACAGGATGTTTTTGGTACACCAAAACTAGTATACTTCAACAGCTCAACTCAAAGTGTTCACTAAGTAAGCTCTTCAACTTTTTCTCAAGCCAAATTTGGCACGTCGCTCTTCATATGATGCTGGGATCATTTCAAGCAAATAAGAAGTTAGGTAAAAACCTTGCAAAATGGCAAAGTTAAAACTAGTGATGGCGAAAGTTGGAGAAATAAGAAAAAAATTATTATAATTTCTGATTTTTATGATATGGACATGGACAATCAAGGTACATTTAAACTACTTGTACCTGGTTGATTGCAGAACAATTTGTTGGTCAATGCGCTTGTTCATGACCAGACAATGCAAAAAATTTAATGAAAATCACACAGAAAGATAATTTGTTTGTTTCTAGTTCAACTCCACAAAAAAGGGGAGCCATAAACCATCTCATTATCATGCAGGTCAAAGAGCACTTAATAACATTTCTTTGGTCAATTAAGAGGAATTTGACACTGATTTTCTTATAGACCATGCACATGTGCAATTCGAATTTATAGCATTACATACATTATAAAAAGTAGGGTCTCATTGATGATTAAGGTGTGGCAGTACTTACGCTCAGTTGGCCGAGAAAAAACGGGGATATGGGAAGCCTTCTTCTTGACTGTTCTGTTTTCCAATAAGCTCTGATCTGCAAATTTAAAGCTGGTCTCAGCATACAAAAGAGAAGAATGCTACAGAAATAAATTAAACGAGATAAGAGAAAAATCAATTTCTGCACCGTTTTCTAGAGGCAAACAACTCAAAACAGCCTCATGATAGATTGCAGCTTGGAGTTGATACATTTGACATTCATTCTGCAAATGCATATGTAGAACTTGTGCGGCATCTATTCATAAAACAAGAAAGACAGACATGAAAGATTGCAAGTGAAAATGAATGCCAACACAACATGTCAGCAGATAAACAGGGTGTTAACACTGAAGTGCGATTCATATATCCTCTAATGGTATATAATTCAAACCAAAAACCCAATTCACTGAAATCAGTAAACATTTGATGTCCAAGAAAATAATCTATATTTATGTTATATTTGGCATCTAAAATACCTAATGAACAAGTAAACTTGAGACTTTCAAATTCACAGGATCGAAGAACCAATGGAATCTCTGGAGCCATGATATACTGAGGTTTCCTTGGAGTCCTCTCAATGTCCAGTAATGCATCTATCACCTACACGTTTGAGCACTTAAGGTTAGTTCTTTTATATTGTACTCTTTCTAAGAGGTAAAACATTGTCACTCAATTCAAGAGCCACTGATAAAGATTACTTTGCTGATGCATCCAGCAGCTCATAAGCCCATCCAGCGAGAATTAAATTGAAAAATCAGAACAAAAGGAAAGAAGTTGAAAACTAAGATCTGGATTTATCAGTAGGTCAAAATTATAGCTAAATTACCAGTAGACTTTTCTTTCCCAGCCGGTATGTTCAACCACATCTAAGATTATGAGACATGAATGTGCCAGCCATGATCATAGATATACAAGTTAAATAAAAAGAAAAAAAGAAGAACAACGTTAAGATTCAGGCAGCAGACTATTTTTACTCTATTGAATTCCTTTTATAGCTTAAAAAGTTGAAAGAACAAGATTTGAAGGTTAATAATAACAAGGACATATGCTATGCACCTCATCGGATTCAAGACCTTGGCCAATCATTAACAGGACGGCAACCATGCACCTGACCTGGTGCCATAGAAAAGCAGTACCCCGAATTTTAATAGCACAAAGTTGATTGTCTCCATACCTGCAAGCAAAATTAAAAATTTGAGAACTTTTGCAGACACTCTAACCAAGCAAATCTCAGAAGAAATATTTTTCCTCAATTCATGTTAACAGATAATACATTTAATTATAATTTACAAATGGCTGGTCAACACAAGAGGCAGTTCCAGTGAAATTTAAGTCAAAGCCATATCAAAACGCCTGAACAAATGTAGGTACTGGAGTCTAGAGTTCAAACAACATCATGTTTCAGCATAGGTAAAAAATGCTACTGTAGCCAGGCCTGCCTCTCGATTTCAAAAAATAAAAATACATAAAAGAGAAATGAAAAGTGATATTCTTTCACGTATGTAAGCACTCTAGATGTAGACAAAAAATGCTAAACATAGACCTTATAAACTTGAGCAGCATTATGACATTTTATACCAATGAAACATGAAGAAAGTACACTGTCATATATCACGAAAGATATGAAGAAGATTAGCTTTCTTTTCTCTTAATTATTATGCAACAGTGTTACCGCCTCCCTTCCCCTCTTTTTTTTTTTTTTTTCTCTATCTCTGATTTACTTTCCCTGGCAGCCAACACTTGGTACATCATACAACACACAAAGAAGTATGACATGAAAACTCACTTTCATAGAATAAAAGCAAGAAAGAGAATAGGGTCAGAGATATTTTTACCAATGCCAACCTCATATCACAAGGAGAAACTTCAAATGAGGTGACATGCCGCCTATAGTTGTGTACATTTAGTGCATCCATCTTACAGAAGTTTCTGAAGTCATGTTCCCCTACAAATTTCTTTCCTGCACTCTCCATTGCCTGGTGAAACATGAAATTATAAATGAAAGTGTTATAAAACTATTATTTCCCAAAAGCATCACTGAAGTCAGTTCACAAAAGGCCAAAACTCATGTGGAAAAAAGAGATACATACCAAGAGATTTAGATTTTCACTCCAAAAAAAGTATTTATATTCTCTACTTAAACAGCTAAACCTGCACTAACAGGAAAAAAATTTATCTAAAACATAAGAAGACAATATAATGACCAGGAAAGGAAAATTCTTATGAAACCAACAATTCAACCCTGCTAATACGTTAATTGTAATGGAACAAGTTACTCCTAAGAGATCCTTTCAAAACCATGAACTTATCATTCAATCATCATTAAGAATTTTGGAATGTGTAAACAAACCTTGCACTGAAATCAACTGGAACTGGACACCAGCCAATAATTCGAATATCTTTTGGAAGGGCTCGATTCAGCACTCTCACGTAATCAATCTCCCCTTTTGAGAAGAATAAACATGGTGTAATTTAATATGGGAGTTTTACATTAAAAAAATATTTTAAATTTGAAAGATGAATATAATTTTACAAAGAATCCTGTAAACAACTGGTACAGCATGAACTAAATCAAAAAAGTCAACCATGCTTTTCTATCTAAACTAGTGGGCTTCTTTCCAGTTATTGCAATTCTCTTCGACAGATATTCTTTTTGAATTTCCAATTCGCATTTCTTGAGAAAATCAAGCCCAAACATCAACATTTTTGTCACAGCCTGGTCTAAACTTGTGAAAATAGTATATAATCATTCCTGGGCTATAATAGCAAAATAAGATTGATATACTCTGGCAAAGAATAGGTCCTGCAGTTAACCCTTTAACAACTGATAATCACGATCAGAAAATCTATGAATTTATTGAATAACTAAATGCCAAATCCTTAGTTTGACAGTTCACGAACAACATGGAGATCTAATGCTTCTTCATGCCCTAGTTTGCCTAGAACTGTCAACAATGAGCACAAAGTTGTAATGAATGTGAGGAGAAGTCAGGAAGACTTGCCCTATAAATTATTAGTCATAACAAGGATAAATTTAACATGACTGAAGAACTTATGACACAGAATAAACATATTATAGTTTCACCCAATAGGATAGATCATATGAATATACAAAATTTATAAATAGATTACATAACTAACCAGTTTGTTGAACAGTTTCTCCAGAAGTTTTGCAGTCTGTACTATTTTCCTTGAGCTTTGATCGTAAATATAGAGCAATCACCTGTATAAAAGATTTTCCATGTTCTTAGAAATTCAAGTAACAACAGGAGATAGCCTCTCCGGACCTCAATGAAGGCCAGGTTGAATTTAAGGTCTCACATAGACTTTGATATAATATCATGGGACCTCACTACGTAAATGATATAAAATGTCCAGAAGTAGTTAAGAATCATTCAAATATAATGGTTCCTTTATTTTCAGAAAGAAATGCATGCAGGTATGTTTAAATTCTATGTAGAAGTTCTAATCCTTAAGAAAAAATGGTTTCATTTACACAAGGAGTCCATTAAAATCCATAGTCTTTTGCAGATAAATGGGATCTACTTACATGATAGAACTTGCACAAGTTTACATTAAGAAAGTAGCTCAGAGGGCATTCATAACTCATTGAGTGGCATAAATGGTCATCAATAAAACCCTCAATACTCAGTTCAGGACATGCTTTTGCTAATTACTATACAAATCCTTAACTTACTTGCCCAACAGAGGAAACCCCCTTATCTGTTCTGCCACATCTTGAGTACTGTGATTCCTTCTTGTCAGCAACTAAAAGCCTGGTCTTCTCAAGAGCATTAAAAATTTCAGACTGCAGGAAAACTGGTATAATAAGCATTTAAGCAGATATTTAAGCCTTGTACAAGAAAATTTATTCAATGAAACGAGTTCTATAAACACATAAATAACACTGAATTGAAAAAATTTGGTAGTTTCCTGCTTTCCTAAACAAAACTTGTTTAAAAGATTTGAATGAGGATTATATTTTTCTCAACTATAGGTTAAAAATATGAAAAACCAATAAAAAGAATTCTTTAAGAAGACATAATAACATGTCTTTCCAATATAAGAATGATTACTGCAGCTCAAAGATTTCTCAGCCAGGACATGAGTGCCAAGTTAAAACAACCAAACATGACAAAAATATGTTCTCCAAATCTAAGTATGGAAGCACTATTGAGCATGTCCTGAGGGTATATAAAACTATCTTAAATCAAATGTGAAACAGCGTATATTCAAGATATGGGTGCATGCAGGACTTTGGAGAATCAATCAATGAAGGAAATAATTATATCTATACTTTATAGGTAAAGGAACTATAACTTATGTAGTTGCTTTGAGCATAGATAACAAATTTGGTGCATTTAATTAAAACATTTGTGAACTATTATGTCTCATTATTATTTAGTAAAACAATTTCAAAGAAGAAAATAAATGAATACCACACCTCAACAGTTGGTTCCATTTGTGCTTCTGAAGCAAAACCATAAAACCTGTGATGTAACGCACATTTCATAAGATTTCTTTATTGAAGTTATAGGTTTATCTATCAAAAGATAGAAATAATAGAACATAAAACAACAGTCAAGAAGCCAGACTTTTACGGCATAAAAGGAAAATGTTACTCAAGAAAAGCCAAAATCTTCCCAGCCAGCAAGGTTAAGACATTAGATGATTCTAAGTAGATGGGATGTTGTTCAAGTAGTAAATCTCACAAAATTATCAGTTTGTAACTGTTGCAAGTGTAGGTATGACATAACAATATCTAAATCTTGTGAAAAAGAAGATCTCAGCCCAACATTAGCGATCTAATACTTTCTATAAGTTTGCAGACGACAAAGCATCCTGAAGGGCATGAATATACTAATTTGATCCGTGAATCCAGCCCAGTCTATGCTAGTGTTTTCACTTGCAGTTAACATATTTCTATCAGTCTGTCACCATCAAGATTTAACAAAGTACAATGCTCTAGCTGGAGAGTAATGGCCAAAACAGTCTGAGGTTGATCCATTCCACCCAAGAGATCAAGGCTAGTTGAGTAGCATAGATAAAGTTGTTTTCAGTCAATCTTGTCCTTCCACTACGGAATCTCGGCAGCTATTTTCTATTTCACTTTCCTTTCAAAATGAAAGGGAAGATTTCTGTTGGAAGAAATGAAGGAAAAGATATCATAAAGGTATTGAGCTAAAAAATTATGGCAAACTATATACCTCTGACCAAAATACATGACTTTCAGTGCAACATATCTCTTGGAATGACGATTTCCAATCCCTGTAAGAACAGAAATACTAGTTATATTCAGTAAATTCATACGTTCAAAAGGAGAATAGAAGAAAGTAAACAAATAAACATAATTACCCAATAAATAAATAAAAAAACCAGACTTTTCTGATTGACTACACTATTTGGATCTTCATTAACTGAGAAAAGCAATATGATTGACAAGAAGGTTATATCAGCCTATAACAAGTCAACTATGCAATATGGGCACATATTGTGGATGGCAACAAATATTCAAATATTCGCTGCAACATTATAAATAGCACATGCTCCTCAATTTTCTTTTCCTTTTATATACATTTGTTGATTTATTTTCTTTTACAAGGTTTGAATTAAACCTCACCCCAACTTATAGATATAGATAAAGACTAGAAAAACACCTGGCATTTTCTCAGTTACTTTCTTTTTCCTGGTCTTGAAACCTCCAGTGTCTATTTTCCCCTTTTTCTCAACCGAACTTGCAGTATCTAGAACAGAACCGTCAAGCTTCTCTTCTATCTGCATCATGATCATGATTATATATTGAGCTCCATTAAATCATGTTGGTCTAATACATACTCAAACATAGATATTACGCTAAAATATAAATATATATTGTGAAGGTGTTAATTATCTCTCATAAGTGCATTCTAATGCAGACGTGATCGAGTTTCAGACACCATACTAGTGACATCACCGCACAATGTGACAAGAGAATGACTGAATGACTATATATATGCAAAAAATAACTCAAGCAAATACACACAACCCGGCGCAGCCAAATCTCACCGTTATGAATGGATTACAACCACCACATTCAGACTACAGTGTTACTTGACATGTCCCTCACCTCACCCACCACAGCATGACCATATTTTTCATTTCCTTGGTAAAGCTAAAGTCTTTTTCTTGAACATGAACTCAACATTAGCAGAAAACTAAAAGGGTAAAAATCTAAAACTATAACAAACCTTTTCACAGACACAATTAGAGAGTCGAGATTGTAGCATTTCGTTATCAACTTCTAATTCCTGAAATAACGTTTTGCATATCGGTGAACAAGCCCATATAAAGTTCAAATTTTCAGATAAGCTTTTGCTTCTAGAAGCAAGAAAAAGTACTTCCAGAATAAGTTTGAACTAAATTTGGCATAACCAAACGTGCCGTTTGTGAAGTGATAATTAAGAAAAAATGGAATGAAAAGCGCAGACCTTAACTCTGGTTTGGAGATGGCGTACTTGCGACTGTAAACTGGAGATGAGTTCTTGATTGTCCTCGGACATGGTCGATTGCTTTGCGTAACTGTACCTGCTCTGCGTTGAATGTTTGAAGAAGAGTCTGAGAGTTGGGCGAAGGGCTAAAGAGCTTGTCTAAATTGATTTTTTAAAAAAAGTTGTGGGAGTATTTAGAATATAATTACTTTTAGGGTTTTTTTTTTTTTTTTAAAATAACCAATTATTAACTTTTTTGCGGCATTTAATTGCATTTTATCCCAAATTATCATTTTCCTTTTTAACATCTCCGTCATTCATTGTACCTAAGTATCAAATTACATGAGAGGATATTATCAAGTTTATTGAATATGTACCCACTATTTTTTTTTTTTTTTTAACTAACGTGCATCTTAATTAATCTTCATAAGAAATTATCCCACAATAATCCCTTGTCACAGCCCCCCAAGTAAATTATGGACAAAAATATTACATTTGTGCCTAATAGAGAATTGAATCTAGAATTGTGAGTAATACTTACTATTTAGCATTATCTAATTATGTTTTATGTTGAAATACCATTTTTCAATATTCAAACAATAACATTAAATGAGGATATTCATTTGATATATTCTATCATATGATTGTCGAATGTATTGAGTATTATTAAACATATATAACATTTTTACTTTCTTTAAATCTTATAATAAACTAGACATGAGATTTGAGCGTTGTGCTAGTATGTTTATTTAATATTTTTAAAATAGATTGTAAACAAATTTATTCTAACAGAATAAAATAATTAGATTAAGAGATAATAATTGTTAAATTATACAAGTTTTAGAGTAAATATAACTTCTATATATGTAAAAAGTTGTGTTAAGATAAAATTAATAATTGACCTTTATAATTATTAATATCAATTAATATTATGAAGATCAATTATTTAAACTTAAAATTTATATTGAGTTCATTTTCAGGTTTGACATTGACTGGTAAATTTTTTTCTCACAGCATAGGATTCTCTCCAGCCAAGGTTTGAAAACAGACTAACTTTTATCTTTATATGTTTTTTCTTTAAATGGTTAGATTTTTGGAATGCCTATATAATGTACTTATATAATTATTATTAATATTCATCCAATGTGTGAAGATTGAAGAATTAAATCAAAACTAATGTGTTATGATGGAGAACAATTTTCAATCAATTAATGAGTAACACCAAAATCAAGATAAAATTGAATATAGAGAATAATATTTTTATTATAAAAGAAATAAGTACATCGTTTTTTCATACTATAAAGTGGATTTGGACGATGTAGACTTTATTTTCTATTTTTCTTATAGTTGTTCAGTTCCTCTAGTGCATATGCATACTCTCTTTTGTTTATATTATAAATAATAGCCACGGTAGAGTCCATAATTTGTAACATTTAGTCAATGACTTCTCTGAATTTGTCTCTTGCAGTATGTAGATAATCCAGATTGGTTTCAACTTTTTTAAAAATATCCCTCAATTTTGGCATTCCCTGAAAAATGTCTAAACTAATTGCAGAAACAATATACAATCAAATTGTATAAATATATGGAAACGGTAACATGAATGTGTAAATATAATTATGAGATGAACTCTTGACATATCAAATTTTTTTTTTTTTAATGGTTTTTATATTCCCGCAAATATGTATCATTGTTTTGTTTGACATTTTGTAGTTTAAGATACAAAAGATGTGAAACATTCATACCTTATGGTTGCCTTAGTGGAGAATTATTGTTGTTGAGGTCATTACTAGTATTTGTTGCAGATTCTTTTGGTTGTGATGTTTTGTTAGCCGTTTTTGAATTAAGTTGTGGAGAAGAAATGAACAATTAAAGTGTATAGTATCTGAAGAAAGTTAAATGAGTGACTGATGTTAGAGCAATATTTATAGGAGAATAGGATACGAAAAGGTGGAATATGAACAAACAACTGGTAATAAATAAACGTGTCGATCGAAAAAGTGTTAATAATTATTTGGATAAGGTAATACGAAACGATAGTAGACTATCTGTACAATATTGAAGAAAACCGTAATAAATATTTTGTTAAGTGTGCAACATATTAGTTAGGTAGTTAATGATGGTTCGGCAAGATGTTGAGTTATTATGATAAATAAACACTGTGATTTACTAATAATAAAATCTTATGGATACATTTTTAAATGATGGACAACAAATATTTTGTCAAGTATCAAAGTCAGAGATGATATGATGATGTCATAATATATTTATTAATTTTTTAATTGTGGTTCGGCAATATGGTTATGAAACATGCATATAGTTCAACTTCGATCTTATTTGATGAATAATGCTACAAAAGTTTTTTTAAATCTGTAATAGAAATGGTTATTTCTAATTTTTTTTTAAATTAAGATTATAATATATTTAGATTGATGTTTGTTGAATATGTTCAAATTTTTTAACATTTTTATAAACAGTTTTGTCTAATATTGTTATTAAATATCTATTAAAATATTAAATATTGTTTATGTTTTATCTAGTATTTTAGTCCTATAATTAAAATTTTGTTACTCACATTAGAATATATCTTGACTTGTTTTATGTAAATAGAATTAGGAAACAAACAGAGGGAATAAATTTGAACTCATCTTTTATGCGAGAATGTTTGAACAATTTCTGGGGTATTGTATCACACAATAAAAAAGTTGCTCTAGGAAAATTAACAGGCATTTAGTAATAGATAGACACGTCGATTAAAAAAGTGTTGACAACTTATTGCGCGATGAGATACGAAACGGTAGCAAAACTGTTTGTGGCGCATTAAAGGAAAGCGTAATAAATAGTTAAAATGGTTCGGCAGGTGGGTTTCCAAAATATGTCGTGGTTCAGCATAGAATTTAATCTAATGAATAATGGACTGGAAATTTATTTTTATATGTTATAGGAACAATATTTAGATTGCTGTTTGTTGAAACGTTTTGCTGATCATTGTAATTTTGTGATAAGTTTTTCTTTATAAGTTATTAAATATTTGGATCAATTGTAGATAATTGAGTGAGTTTTAACTTCTATTTTCATATTAAACTAAAAAGCATTTAAATTTGTACATGTGCATGAAATTACATAAGAAACTTACTAAAAATTAATTTTCATACAGACTATTTGGTAATCCACATTACATCTATGACATGTGATATTTTCTGGTGACATTGAACTGTCCCAGTTTATATGATTTTGATTCTCTTTGTTGCAAGTCCCTAATATTCATCTTTTAATGAGAATTGTTGTAGTTGGAGTCAGAGACTTGAATTCTTCCCTGCAATATTTCAGTTTGTAGAAATGATTAGGTAGTTTTACTAATTTCATTAGAATTTGTATACCTCTGTTGTCATGTACAATAAGTAGAGCAACGGTAGTGTGATATATTGCTTGCATGTTATATTTTTGGCAAACTGCAATCAGTAGTTTTAATCCCATATATGTATCATGTTTGATGAAGAACAAATGTGTTCCCAGCAGTAGCAAAGCTTGTTTATTTTTTGCTTCTGCAAGTGTCTTCAGAATTGAAAGTCTCATTGTTGTTATTGTTGGCAGTTTGTGTCGTTGTTTCGAAATGTCCATTCTTTGTAATATTTGTTTTATGTTTGCTTGCTTGTTCAGAGATTTGCACCTGTAAATTGTATGGTAAGTAATGGTTTCGAAGCACAAGATTCGTAAGAGTTAAAAAAAAAATAAAAAATCCATAGTTAGGAATCACAATACCATTACCTTATGATTAAGCAATTAAGAATAAATAAGTACGTCAAATATGACTCAGTTAAATATGGATCCTAAAATGCATTTTGTTTTTTGTGCATTAGAAAACTATTAACAACTAAAGATGCACATGGTTCGGTAGAGTCATTTGTATGGTTAACCATTATTGTTATAAGACTGCTGCGGAATAAACCACTATCTTATTGTTATTAGTTGTATGTTTAGCCATTTTGTACAATATCATTTTTTGTATGACTAAGAAAATAATGAAATCAATAGATTAATGAAATACAATGGTTTTAGTAAAACTTATGTTAATCGTATTGCTTGTAAAGTGGTGTGATCTTTGTTGGTTGCTTTTACAATGATTCGTTGTAGAATTTATGATGGTAATTGTAACAGACTTGTGGCTTGTTTTTTTGTTATTTTGAAAGGAAGTATGATTTCTTGGTGCTGTTTTTTGGGTGCAAGTATATGGAAATTATGTTGTCGATATGGTATCTATGGATTATATAGTTCGCGTGTGGGTAGCAAACAAATTTTTTTTTTTTTTTTTTTTTTTGGTATTTCAACTGCTTAGATAATGTTCTGTTAATTATTAATAGGAGTCAGTGTTGTTATATGAATCTGGTTTTTAATAGTTTTGTAAATTAATGATGGTTGTATTAATCATTTAATGTTAAGTATTACTTATATATAAATGTAAACGGTCTGCATTCATGTTAATTTCTATATAGGCATATTAAGCATTTGAGACATTTGATTAGTACGATTTTTTTTTTAAACCAGTGGGAAACAGATAGTGTTTCATCAAAATAAATGTCTTCTTTTATGAATTCCATTAATATCGTATAAATATCTACATGAACAATGTCATTTATTTGATCAACATTGCTGTACATTAAGAATGACATTAAATATCACAATATGAGATATCATCAAAATATCAATCACATCAATAAAAAAGTAAGTACATTAACCCATAATTAAAACTAAACTCTAATATCCTGATTTTTAATAGTAATGTCAAATAAAAAATATGATATAATAGTACAGTGCATTAATCAACATTTAATAAACATGGTGATCTAATAATAATGATATCTTATTGGCATAGTTTTAAAGGAAACGGTAATAAATATTTTGTTAAATATTCAAGTCAGATGTTGGATGAATTGTGATAATATATCAATTAATATAAAACATTTATACGGTTCGACATTGGTCTTGTTTAATTGTTTATGTTTTATTGAGTATGTTAGTTCGTTAATTAAAATTTTGTTGATTCACATTAGAATATATTTTGATGTGTTTTGTTTAATTAGGAATACAAAAGAAACAGATGAAATATGAATAAAAATGTTATAATAAATAAACATGGTTGTTTAAGAAGA